CCTGTTTTTCAACATGTAGTCCAATAATGAGAAGGAATGAGCGGGCATGGAATCTTTTATTTGCAACACAATTGTATGTTTAAGCTGCTATTGAAAAATTTGTGAAGTTGCTTCGCGTAAATAAAAGAAAGACCCAGGTGAGGGTGTATGAAGGTGTGGTGACGATTTGTCATGATAATGGGAGCTAGAAGGAAAATGATTACAGTCATAAAAATTGTTATACTAGGAAGCAAAACTAGTGATTTATGAAAATTGTTTTTCCATGTTTGTAGGTGCTACCTTTTATTTGGGAAGTGTCATTTTTTAGGGTTTTAATCACAGATTTTTCTAGAAAGCAAAGTACAAAATGAGTGTTAGAGGAATTAATTTTAAGGGGTTTACATGTTCTTTTTTTCTTTAAGCTTTTGGTTAGTTATTAGTTAATAAGATTTTTTGTTTAAATTTTTTGCTTTATTTATGCTAGGGCTACCTATAATAAAAAGAGTGGCCTATATCAATCCCTTGATCAACATCTATCTCCTTACTTTGGATCAACATTTATTTCCTTTGGATCTGAATGGAGCACTTTAGCAACATGGATATGACAGGACTTAATCTTAAATCGTTAGATACATCTCAAAGTTAAGGCAAAGTAAAAAGGTTTTTTATTCAGAGAAAGATTCACTAATATTAATTAATAAATAAAAAGTTATAAACATAAGATATAAAATAAAATTTTATTAAATCAATGAAAACACTGCCAATTTATCAAGGGAAGTTAAAACATTAAATCATCGGAAAAAAAGATATCAGCCTCGACTAATTAAAGCTAAAGAAAAATTCAAGTTTGAAATAAAGAAACTGCTGTTGAATAACTGTTGTCCAAACTCAAAGAATATTTATTTTTAACAAATCTTTTCCTGATAGTTTACCAAGCAAACTAGTTCGATCTATCAAGAGAAAATCTACCACCAGTTAGTTTAGTAGGATAACTTATCATTAATCATGTAACTTTGAGATGTATTTAACGATTTAAGATTTAAGATGTAGCATCTTGCGTTAGTGATTTTTAATGTTAGGAAGAATAAACCCAATCATAGCGAATTATTAGCAAGGACTTGTTTGATCTAATGGTTATCACACTCCCCAAATGGATCTCTTTTTGCATTTGTGCTTTGGTCATTGCTAGACCATGAAGCAATATTTTTGAGAAATTTTTTTTTTGAAAAGTATGTCATTTGAGTTGAAAGTCCCAGTTTCTTGGTACCTTTGCCCTATTAGCAATATCTTGTTGGTCTGATAAAGCTCTATCTTATCCGTCCATCTTTGGATTTCATTCATCTGTATAGCCTCCGACTCATTAATAAATGGGACAATCTATCACACGTCAGGTCTAGAAGGTGATACACTCAGACAACGTAGGGCGTGATGAAAATGAATTGAATATGTTTTGAATTCTAAAAAAAAAAAAAGATTTTGTACAAGTAATGACAACAATAAAGAAGGAAAGATAAAATTTTATTCCATAACTAAAAGTCCAACAACTCACAACTGAAGGAAACAAAGAATAAAAATAAAAAATTAAAGAAACTAAAATAGCAATAGAAAAATAATTAATCAAATCCAAAATGAAAAATACAAGAATTAATGCAAAGCTGGAAATACCAAATATAAATCTAGAACTAGAAGATCTATTCCTATGGGGACAATCCTACAAGTTGTTGAATAGAACTACTATACAAAAATATCAACGGGTAAGTTTGACAAATCAAACTTAGTAAATAGCCTTTTTTTAATTAAAGTAAAAATACAAAGAATTGTGACTAGTAAATAGCCTTTTTTAATTAAAGTAAAAATACAAAGAATTGTGACATGCAATATGAGCAATAAAGTGGTACAATTACTATATGCATATATATCATTATAAGTTAATAACATTGTGGTTAACAAAATATGCTCAATTATTTAAAAAAAACTTGCAATCATTTCAAATCTGATCAAGTATTATCGATATATAACTTACCAGTTATTTATTATTCATTATTCATTTATATAGTTGATTTCAATAGACACTTGAAGCTGAAAGAAATCCACCAACTTACATACCACTACATACAAGTATTGTACAATTTTCCACAAATAAATATATGTGTAATATGTTATTTTACACAGGTTGTTGATATGCCAAATCTACATGCAATTCATAAGTGTAAAGTACTAGAAAAAGTAAAACCATAATTGCAGTATTTAATCAAATATCCAGGGAGTTGTGCAACAATAAAATAAGACAGCTAATGACTTTATTATCAGCAGTAAATGAAGCCTATAACACGTGTCAAATAAAAAAAAATTAAAATGAAGCAACAAGTGCATAACTAAAATTCTATAAAATAACTATGAATCCCTTACAAGCAACAAGGAAAACACACCTAACTAGGGAGAGTATGCTTTTCCTCTAATAAAAACTAGTTACTTACATCGATGTGGGCAATAAAACTCTTACATCTTTAGTTTCTCAACTAACATCCATCAGTTGTCCTTTGTAAAGTTGCTAGCTTGATAAGACAGGTCTGTGAAGCTCCGACAACTAGGCAATAGTTGCTTCCTTCGTTGCTCGATCAAGAATACCTCCTACGTGGGTTGCCTTGTGCGTTTGAATAGTAAGGTAAAAAGGGGTTGTTCGGCTTGGTTTACTTCTCTCGGCTGGGAACTTAGGCGAAGGAGGAAGGGAGGTGTTGTTCTAACCAAAGGAAGAGAGTGTGGGATTTTTGGCTATATCTTGATTGCCGTGGGGAGTTTACTCGATTGGTGTGGGTTCATCTCTTACGTGAATCAATGGAGAGAGATAGGGGCGACGCTTCTGTTAGGGCTTTTCAAATGTGAGAAAGGCGAGGATGGTCTTTGGCTACTTGGCTTGCAGTTGTGGTGTCCAATTGAGAGAGTCGAGGGGAATAGGGCTTCGTGCGAACCGCAAGAGGACGGGAGGATAGGCTCGAGAGGCTAGGCAATGAGGATCGACAACTATGCTTGAAGGAATTTTGATGCCCTAGGCTTCGGCTGATCCTCCCTAAATAGCCAAACGAGACGGTAAAGTTACGAGAATTAAAAAGAAAGGGTTAAGGGGAAGTCCCAATTGGGAAGGCAACAAGGTGAGTTTCTCCCAAGGAAAGGATTTCATGCTCGAACTAGGAAGGTGGTAGTGCTGATCGGGAGGGGGAGAAAAGGAAAGTTTCAGGTTTTACACAAGCAATCTTTTAATGAGGTTGCATAAGGTCTCATATTTTACCAATAAATATCTGCTTAATTTTCATTTTGAGGCACATGCTTCATCTAGAGCTTATCAAAATTTGCTATTTCTACCATGAAGGGTCCAATACTTCAAAGGTTACAATAATTTGATTCACCATTAGTTACAAGCGATGCAAACAAATTGCTTCCTTAGCTTTGTTTTGGTTGGCAACCACAATCTAGTTAGCACAACTCCGTACTCCGTATTATTATCTGCCTTGAAGCCAAGTTGAAGGAACGTTTGATACCAAATGCATTGCTATTCTCTTGCAAACCTCCTCTAAATAAGTACATCCAAGCTCTTTTGGTTGCTTTCATTTGATCTTGGGCTTTTCCCCCTTTAGTGTGATTTGACAATGACATTCACCAAGATATGAGCTTCAATTGCCTGTTGGGGAACATACTCCTTGTTTTATTCATTGAGCTCAATTTACTACTTCATGAGTTTCCCAAACAATTATAATCATTGCAATATCTAGAGTATGGGATGGGTGGTCACCACTTTGATAGCATGTGTTTGGAAGTAGGCCCTCAATTTTAGAACAACAAATATTCACGGCAAGCACCGGTTTATCCATTAGAGGTTATCTCTTCTGGATCATTAAGTTTGTGATTGATTTAAAACACATGCTATTCTTGGCTCCCTTCCCGCTGCTTAACATATAGCTGATCATTTTCTTGTGGAATCCCAAGCATGAAATAAAATATCTAGCCGATGGTTCCTATGGATGGGTGGCAATGTTTCGTATACTCAAGTTCAAGGATGCTGCCTTGAACTTAGTTGTTTACTCAAATTTCTTTTGAGTTCTTCAACTATTTAAAGAATACTATATTTTGCTTTCTCAAACTTTAGATAAATTGACTCAGTTCGGTAAGCTTGCCTGCTAGATTTTGAATAATTTGACTAAGCGTGACAATGCGACCTCTAGGACCATTCAAACTTTATTATAATTTGGAGATAAGTTAGTCGACGTAAACATTATCCCGACAACTTGTCAAAATTAAGGGCAAACAAGCATCTAGTATAATTCAATTTCATATTATCCCTATTTGAGCCAATAAATGTCTTTCTCCAGTCCTTTGAATATTCAAACGGTGACTTGCTTTTCATCAACAGATTTGTCAATTTAATTCTCAAAATTCTATTCTTTCTATTGCTGGAAGATGCTATCTGTAGTCACTAGTAATTGACATCTACGTTCTTCAGATCAAACGACATCACCATGTGACCAAAGTCTTTTCATCTATGATAAAAATGGTATTTTTCTCATCAGTTGAATACTTTCTTATTTGATGGTAGATTGAAATGTGTCCGACCACTAAGTCCACCTACATGTCTATGTTTACAATAGCTAGGATTATTTTGGCAAATGTCCTTAAATTTTTTGAATATAGATGGGGATGTTGATGGTAGAATTCAAGTTGGTTGGTTGAAGTGGAGG